CAGAGCACCGTGTGAAGAGAAATGACAGGAAATGAAGATGGCTATTTGTCACATTTTACGACAATAACATTAATAACAAACAATAAATTTACATGGACATATAAGACGCGGTAGGTAGTGAGAAATCCCTTCTACTTACAATACCCCAGCCCGCGGTGTGGCTCCGGCTGCGGGGCTGTTTTATTGCTGCCTCCCTCTCTTTTTCTCTCTCTCTCTCTCTCCCTCTCTCTCCCCCTCTCTTTTTTTTTTCTCGGGGTACAGGCTTGTTTTTCAAAGGACAGTTGAATTGCACGTCAGAAACAGGGAGACCGAGCCTGCGATTTTCCTGACGAATACATATCTATTCTGCAACCTCGGCATTAATTATTTAATGAATCACGTGACCGGGAGGGGGAAGGGGGTCTTTCGATTTCAGGCTCAAAGGACCACTATGACCTTCCCCTTCAGGAGGAGAAATTTTCCTGCAAAATAGGTTCCCCCGCTAACCCACTAATGGAACAGCAGCGAGGTCTCCTCTCCCATACTCATATCCTATCCATACCTACTCTATCTACAGCTCCCTAACCGCTCCCCCAAACACACACTTACCCACAGCCCACCTTTCCTCTCTCCCTTCTCCTCCTGCTTCTGCCTAGTTCGTGGAGGTGCAGAAATAGTCTGCAGGGGCGTCTGGGGTGGGGGTGGGGTGGGCGCGGAGCCCTTCTCCAAGCCCCTGGATTTCTCAGCTTCCAATTCTTCTCTCCACATCTTCTAGGATTAAGATTCCCCCCAACTCTATTCTCTCCCCCACTTCTGGGGTATTTATTTTAGTGGGACACACTCTCCTCTTACTAATAACGGTCAAAATTTCTAAAGGGACCAGTTTGCAAAGAAACACTTCATAAGTCCATATTATATATGTATCAAGAATGGGACTTCTGACTTAAAAGTCTCTTTTTTATCTTTTCTGGTATCTTTTGAAAGAGTGGAAAGGGGATAGGGTGAAGAGATGACTCTGGAGCTTCCAGAATTGAGAATAACCACAAGAGGGATTTGTTTCGTTGTGTTGTTACTATCATAGAGAACTAAATTCTACAGACCTTTTGAAAATAGGCTCTAGAGACAAAGACTGGGACTAAGGTTCTACACAAAAGAAATGGACACTCAGCCTGTCTCCACCTATGTCATGTCTTGTTCCCCCCACCCTGCAAAAAATAAATAAAAAAACACCAGCTGGAAATTTGAACAAGAGAGGAGGGAAAGGGAAAAAAGGCTTTGAAGTCAGCCTGGCAGCCCAGGGTCCCTAATTCCCAGGTGTTAGTACCCCAAGCTTCCAATGAGCAGAGAACGAAGGCTGGTCAATGAGAAAAAGATGGGGGGGGGTGCATATTGAAGGGTTAAACACTAAGGATAGGAGAAATCCTTGCCCTAGGCCTAGAGAGAGATGTACACAGACTCCTCAACTTCATATATAAACAAAACCAAAAAATCCCCAAACTTGACTGGTTACAACCAGAATCACAGTCTTTGGCCAGGGCATAGGTGAGGGTGGGGGTGCAAAGGGAAGCAGAAAAGACATTCCTAAAGAAGCCCCTGGTTGCACATTCCCAGCCTTATCTATCTTCAGCAGCTCTCGGGGTAGCCAGGACCACAGCTGCCACCAGGGCAGGCGGGGAATCAGGGAAGAACAAACTTCTCTTTAGGGTAGGGGAGCACAGGGCTGAGGGGCCTTCACTGGTTTGTTTGGAGGGGTCTAAACAAAAACCAACTCAAAGGGAGAAGACTGAGGACCTGGTTGCCTTAACCCCCCGTCAAAGAACGCCTTCCCTGCCTCCGTGTGGGCCTTGGAGGTTCCAGTCTTAGCGGCAGCGCGGTCCCTGCAGAAGACACTGGAATCCTGCTCTGCTGCAAGGGGTGGGAGCGCCGGCGGCGGGGCCCAGACTCTGTGTGTGGGGGGGTGGTCTGCTTTGATTGTCCAGATACAAAACACAGACTGGTATTGAATTTAGCCTGATCCCATTGTGGGCCCCTCTCCTGGTTCCAACGAGGGCAACTCCCTGCAAGGCCCTGGCCACAAACCCATTAAAAAATGGTCCCCCAAAGAAAAACACTCCACAGAAGTCCAAAAAAAAAAAAAAAGAGAGAGAGAGAGAGAGAGAGATACAGAGAGAGAGGGAGAGAGATAGAATATGCTGGAGCATGGGAAGACAGCCATCTCTGAAACTGAGAAATTATTAAGGACAAGAAAAAGAACAGCAAAAGGACACGAAGGCACGCCGGTCAGGTTCTGTTAAAATGCCCACACTCTTTTCGATCCTGGGAATGTCCATGTTCAAATAAACAAGTGCCTGAGCGCGAGCTGAGCGCTTTCTGGCTGCCGATAAAGTGAACGTTTAGACTGTGAGAAAGGCGAGATTGATTTACGAATCTGAACGCGCCGGTTTTATGGCCGATCACAAATCCGTCAGCGCTCAACTCACACTGGGAAACTTCCCAACTCCGTTTTGCAACCAGGCCTCCTCCCCAGCCACTGCTTCCCAGGGAGACCCACCACCGGCCGTGGGGCCGCCTCCGAGGGCTCTGGCTGGCCTGGGCAACCCCCTCTGCCCATGCTGGCAGGAGGGTGAAAGTAGGAGGGAGAGCGGAGAGGGCCAGGGAATGGGGGTGGGGGGGGAGAGGGGTCAAAGTATTAGGAGGACTCGGGGTACTACTAGAATTGTAGAAAGTGAGCCAAACGGTGGTGACCAGCTCTAGAAAGACTGGAGTCTGGGAGTCACAGAAAGAGATCTCACAGTTTTGGCCTGTGGGGCTGAAACCCTTTAGTGGTCCCCCTCTTTTCCTTTAGTGGATCCCTAATCCTCACATTGCAGAGTGCAGTTTGTAAGGTCCCAAACAATTAGGTCTTTGTCACTTGGGCCTGTAGAGGGCCCACAATGGGTTACCTGTCCTTATGGGTAATGAGTGCACGTCTTGCTCAGCTCCAAATATTCTCAGTCCAGAAGCGGCCCAGCTCACTTCTCTGCTCATCCCCTTTTCTTCCTGAGGCTTCCGGCCCTTCCATTTATGCCACCCAGGGATAAAGGAAAGGATACCAATGACTCTGGTTATTTCTTGCCTGAAACACTGTCCCCAAATTACAGGAAACAATTTACAAAATGCAAACCAACACCCACACACATCCGCAAGGTTCTGTCTCTCCTAGTCTTAACCTGAGGGGAGCATTTCCCAGCCTGTGTCCCTGTCTCTCCCTAAAAGGATGGCTGCTGGTGTAGATTTTTAAGATACAGCAAGTAGAATACAGCCATGGAAAGGCTCTATGTTTAGGGTTCACATCTTAGCAAATTCTCTACCCATCTGTTAAAATTAAAAGTTTCCAGAAACTGTGGTTAATATGGCAGAGCTGACCCTGGGAAGTGGTCAGAACAGCCTGCACTGGTCCTCCTCCCATATCTCTTGCTCCTCTGGTGGGGGAGACTCCAAGGACTCTGTAAGTAGCTGGGGTGGTATTGGGGATTAAGTGAAGGGGCAAAAGTGACTATAGAAATAACTTCTTAAACAAAGGAACTTCACAAAATGGGTTGAGAGGCTGTGGATTGAGATGTCAGCCCTCCAGAGAGATGGTAGTCTCCAAAGGAATATTCATGATGGAGCCTTCTCTCTCCTTACAACCCAGGGGCTTATTCCTCTGGCCTTCTGAAACCTTGTGGATTGAGCCTCTCCAACCTCTCATATTTTCTCCCTTTGTCTTTCTTCCCTCAGCTCCCTCCAAGCAAAACAGGAAGGGAGGGATGAACTGGACATGGGGGGTGGTGGCTGGAGTCTGGCCTAGGGAAGGGGCTTTGTTCAGAGAGACAGAATAGCACCCTACTTCCCTCTCCCGACTGGACCCTTGAGCTAAAATTTTTATTCCTTTTCTCCCCAGTGTACAGAAATAGAAAAATAATCCAGAAATTCCAAGATAGCACAGGGTTTGGGGGTAACAAGGCAACAGAGAAGATGGAACATATGACAGCCTGAGGACTCCTCCCTGTGGAGGTGTGACTTTCCCTTCTGGGCAGGAGGCAAGAGCCAGCACAATGTCCAGTCTCAGAGAGGTCAAGGGGCTTCCGAGGTCATTTTGTGGTTCTAATACTGAGCTAATCGCCTAGAAAACGTGGCCTCTCCATGAACTCTCTCTCCTGCCAGCCTCCCGCCTCCAAACTCTAAGTGAGGCCTCAGGGAAAAAGGGCCACTACATTCAGGTCCAGCTCAGAGCCCGCTGAGTCCTCCAGCCTGAGAAGTAGGGCCCCAGAGGAGAGAACAGAGCCCCTGAACCAGGAGAGCAAAAGGAAACCGCATCGAACACAGAGCCTCCAGGAAGCAGGCCAGGAGGGCAGAGCAGTAGAGGAATATGAATGCATCTCGCCTGTGAACTGTGCAGTTTTCCTGCTCCAGAGAGCAGCACGTATTCATCTGGAATCCCAAGCTAGACACAAGAAGAAAAACCAAACACATCTACCTATACCCACTCCAAGGCTGGGGCACTCCATCCAAGAAGTGGATTCAATTTTTCCAGGAGGCAGCAGTGACAACATCGCACCAGTAAACAGGCAGAGGGGACACAGCCCCAGTGTAGACCAGCAGAGTCACAGGAACACATAAGCCACATGTGCACCTCACCAGATGCTCCTTTGATCACATGCTGGGGCTCACCATGCCTACCTGCATGTTGCAAAATCAGAAAAGCTCTTCTGACCAGCCTCCCAAACAACCTTCTTCTCTGGGGTTTTTGGGGGGCCCTGACACCTCATCGCAACCAGTTCAAACACTCTCCAGGTGTCGAGACCCTTCTCTCTCCCTCTGACCCAAGCATCAGTCATCATAAAAGGCAGCAAACCTGCCGAAGCATCCACCATAAAAACCCCCGCAAAGATAGTTGAAAAAGAAAAAAGAGGAGGCGAGAGAGTGTCTCTTCTTTGCTTGTGAAAAGAGCTCATAAAACGATCCAAAAATCAGCAGCCCAGGCCAGGGCTTTCTGTTACCTTTGCGCCTCTCGCCTCCTCTCGCCCGAGCTCCACCGCTGCCATTCATGACGAAGGGCTTCTTCCAAACTGAGAGAAAAAAGTTTTCAACTTTATGGTTCCAAATTTTTTCTCCCTTGCAGATCCGGGAGAGACGGCTAACACTTTTTTCCCCCAACAGCCGGTCTGCGGAGATTTGCTGTTGAATAATAACAAAGGAGAGAGGATACGTATTTAAAGAAAAGAAGTGATTAATGGTTTTCTGTATAATTCTCACATTTTTCTTAGCTCTTGTCTACACAGAATGGCTGTGAACTTTAAGCTCCATAGAAATCTTTTTTAAAAATTCTATTCATACCTTCCAATGAGCAGCTTTGATTTGATTCTTTAGAGACATTCCGGGGGGGGGGGGGGTATGCTTTTTAAGGAGTATTTCCCCCCTCGACTAAGGGCCGCAGCATTTCCTTGCAACTAAAACATCACACCGCGATCTGACCGAAACAAAGCTCACCCCCCTCATCCTCCTGCAGGTCCAGGGCGATTTTTTATGAGTCTCCCAGAAGTACTTAAATGGGTAGTTCAACCGCCCTTCTCTGAGCAGGGGACACATGCCCAGTCAGCTCCCCGGCCCTACCCAGCCTCCAACGAGCGCGCTGCGAACCGGGAGAATGTACAATAAATAACAAGAAAACGTGCGGGTGGGACTGGCTCTTTTTATTTTCAGAAAGCAAATGAGACTTAGAAATGACTTTTAATTGCACGTGCTCTTTGGAGCCCCTGAGCTTTTTGGAGGTGGGGTGGCTGCACCCTGGACCACCACCAGAATAGAGACCCCAAGGCTGGAGCCCCCAAACCTTCAAACTTCTCTGCGGTGCTGCACACAAGCGGTCCAAGCCTGACAGAGCTTCAGAGGGTCACCCGCACCCCCTTTCCCTTCCCCCCACTTCATTGTAGGGGTGACTGGGACCTCAGAGACAGAAAGCTATTTGGTCCCCAGTCGTACTTTCGATACTTTCTATGAGAAAGAAAATGAAAATTAATACAGGAGCAGGGCTTCACAAAAGAGGCCATTTGTCTTCTTGATTATCTATTTGCTTGTCAGAGTTTGAGCTATGGCACTGGCTAGCTCCTTTGTAATATAAAAATACTCTGAAAACCTGCAAACACCCAGAAACATCTGTGCAAAAAATTAGACTCATTAAAGCCTTAAACACCTCAGTGGAAAGCGATACCTTCTTATGCGGGGAGGAAAGAGGCCGGCCTCTCGGAATCCTCTCTCGGAACTTTAATAACCAAAGAGCCGTCTGTCTAGAAGGAGACAGCTTAACCGCATTTTATTTGCTTATGACAAATAAATCACAATATGAAAGGCTTTGCCGTACTTAAGCCTCTTGTGTCCTACAATGAAATATTTTCCCCCCATTAGGGACTGGAATCAGCCCTCCCAGTCCTTTCAATCCATTTTTGGACTGGAGGGAAAAAATTAAAAGCCCTAAACAAAACATACCCATCCCAAAAGGAAAACAAACCAGCTACCACAATTTGAAGTCCTCTGAGATAGAAATTCCCATTGGAACCTTTGAAAAAATCTTCAACCACATACAATGTGAGGCCGAACCCACTAGGGTGCTTAAAATATACGCTGGGTAGCATTTGTTTATATCTTTACATCGAGGTTTCAACAAAAACACGCTGTGCCGGTCACAAGACACCAAACATTTATTTCTATTGTCACTCTGTACAGGACACAAATTTTCACGCCAAAAGGAAGTGTTCTAGACTGAGGCAGCCCCAGAGGTAGTAAGGGGCCTGGTTTGGAATGTCAGAAAGAGAACAAGAGAGAGAACATACAAGACATAAAATAATAATAATAATAATTATAATTATAATAATTATAATAAACAATGCAAAAATGATAAACTATGGGAGAGGGCTCTGCAACATCGGCCTCCCAGACTGGGAGGGGAACGACATTTTGTTTCCTAGTTTCACATTCATTTTCAGTCTAGGAGGGAGGCCTCCGCTGTACAACTCTGGATGGGGAGAGGGTCGTGCCCAGCTCCCAGAACTCAACTGGTCCCTCACCCTGCCAGGCATGGCCTCCTGGGTTTCCAGGTCTCTCTTTTTTTCCTTGGGCTCAATTTCCCTGCCTGCTCCTGCGTTGTCAAGGCCGCCCCCTGCCCCACTTGTCCCCTTTTTTCCTGCTCCCCTCCCCCAGCCCCAAGGGGTGAGCAGTCACTGTCCCCCGTGAACGGGCTCGGAGTGGAAGGGAGGTTGTGTGTGTATTTGTTACCGTGGCCAAAACACTGCGCTATCTGGCAGTCAGAGGGTGCTTTCGCTGGGTGTCAGGAGTGGGGGACAAAGAAAGAAAATCCAGGCTGTCTTCCAGCAGTGGCAGCAGCAGAGGCGGCGGTGGCTGAGCCGGGCCTCATTTGTTAGCCGGGTGTCGAGGTAATGGTCGCCACCGAGGCCCGTCCTCTCCTCGGCAGAGTAAACAAGACAGATGGGCCTGGGCCTGGCGTGATTAAAGATGAAACGTGGATCCATCTTCGCCAAAGCTGAAAACGAGGAGCTGCAGCCTCTCCTATTTCTCTTTCTGTCTTTTTCTTTCTTTCTTCTTCCTTTTTCTCTTTTCTTTTCTTTTCTTTTTATTTTTAAAGGAAGAAAGCAAGAGGCTTGAACCTTGCTTCTGGGGGGCCTTGCTCCGGTCCCTATTGTCATTTCTATAAATAAAGCTTCCCCTACCCCTCCTTCTCTGCATTTATTCGTATATAGATAAAGTGGGGGGGGGGGAGGCAAATAGGTTTTTCCAGGCCCAGGCCCCTGGCGCCCTCCCGCCCTCGCCCCGCGCCCTCCCTGCGCTCGCTGCCCACCCCGGCCCCGAGGTTCGCGGCTCCCACGCGGGGAGCACTAGAGCGCGGTGGGGCCTCCGTGGGGCCGGCCAGGGGGCCCTCCGGCTGCGGTGCCACCCGAGCGGATCTTGGTGTTGGGCAGCTTGTGGTCCTTTTTCCACTTCATGCGCCGGTTCTGGAACCAGATCTTGATCTGGCGCTCGGACAGGCAGAGCGCGTGGGCGATCTCCACCCTCCGGCGCCGCGTCAGGTAGCGGTTGTAGTGAAACTCTTTCTCCAGCTCCAGGACCTGCTGGCGAGTGTAGGCGGTCCGAGAGCGCTTGGGCTCCCCGCCGGCGTAATTGGGGTTTACTGGACACACACAGAGAGAGGAAGAAAGAGAAAGTTTTATTGCCCCCAAAAGGGAGGAGGGGAAACCTTTTCTTCCAGCTAACGCAGTGTCTCCCTCCCTCCCTCTCCGGCCACCTCTTCTTCTTGGGGGGGAGGGGGGTCAGAGGGGCGCTGAAAAGGGAAGAAAGCGGGGACCCAAGGAAGAGAAAGAGACCTCAAAGTTTTAGAGGGTTGTGCTGTCTTCGTCATTGTTTGGGGTGTCTGGGGAGCGGCCAGTGACGAATCTCCCCAAGGTTTTAATGGCTCCTCTCTGCCTCTGGCCTGGGGCCCTCGGGATGGGAGAATGAGGGGTGAAGGAGGGAGGGGGCTTTCCCTAAACCTTTCCTCTGCTTAGTCCCCACCCTCCCTGCTCAGATTCCAAGCAGTGCCTGCCCGCAGGAAAAACTTTTGCCCACTTCTTCAGCCAAGGAGCCAGACTGGAAGAAAGCAAAAAATAAATATGGGGAGTTGGCTCGATCTCTGCTTAAATACGGATGACCTCCTCCTCCTTCTCCTCCCCCACCTCCCACACCCCTCCCCAACTTCCAACCTCACAGAGACGGCATCTCCCTAGCGAAAAAGTCGCTGGTGAGAATGGAGAAGAGGATGGGGAACCGACTTCAAAGGCGCAGGGCCCACCCAGCCATAAAAATTTATGGGGGATGTAATTATGTGGCTCTGAAAACAGGCGACCGTAAATCTCTGGCAATGGCGAGTTTATAGCGGGGACAATTGGCTTTCCCCAGCTCACCCCCCACCCCCACGCCTCCGAAGTCCCTTCGGTGGAAAGCGCCAGGGGTGGGAGGGGGAAGGGGCGCCCACGCACTCACCCGTGCTCACGTGAACTTTGCGCATCCAGGGGTAGACGACGGGCTCTTTGCACGCGGAGTGGGACGGGCTGGGGTGCAGGGGGTTCTGGGCGCAGGGAGGCGGCGGGGGGCTGCTGCTGACCGCCTCGCAGCGCTGACTGGGCTCCGGGAGGAGGGCCCCGGCGGGTGGCGGCGCAGGAGCCCGAGGGGACAGCCCGGGAGGTGGAGGGGGCGGCGGGGGTGGTGGTGCTGGCCGCCTCGCAGCGCTGACTGGGCTCCGGGAGGAGGGCCCCGGCGGGTGGCGGCGCAGGAGCC